AATCAATAATTAGTTGTCCTTGTTATAAAACATCGAATAGAACAGGAGTTCTCTCAACTACAGGTTAATCTACAAACTTCATTTTGTCAATTGTAATATAAATATAATTAATTAATTAGGATTTGATGAGCAAAATAGAGAAGGCAGAATATTGGACATTGAGAGGAACTGCACTAATATCTTAATTAAATGATTGATTATTTATTATTATTATAAATTTTGTAGATATCTTGTGTAGATTTAACTTTATACTATTTTATTATGTACGTAAAACAATTAAAAATCATCGCTAAGATGGCACCATGATGCAAGCCAAATTTAATCAAAAATACTGATCTTTTACTCTTTTTATTACTTCCCCCAGACTTTAAAGTGTTACCTCTCTCACCTATTCCTTGTCTTAAAAGTTGTTCATACTCTAAAATTTATTATCAATCCAATATCTTACACTAACTCTTTTATTGTTAACAATTTTATAGATGACTTTGTTTTCTTTTTTGTTAAGAGCCTTAACCTTCTCTGTGAATGACTGGAACTTTGGTTCAAAAGATTTGTGATATAAATAGATATATATATCAGCAATACTAAAATACACTATTTTATTATGTCTAAGATATACCATTAATTAGCTCTTAATATTTCGAGGATTCTTAGTTAATAATCCAAAAGTGAAAATGATTTTCCTTTGAATTTGATGTTTCTACTTTGGAACAATACTCTAGATGATAATGTGATCTTGGTTGTCTAGGCGTATCACAATATTTGAATATTTCATCTATTTGGTCACAATTATCCACGATTAAAACATTGATACTGCAATATTCCTTCTAATCAATTTCTTCCTCTTTGGTTGATGTCTAAATAGATTCTTTTCCAAATAATACATTTGTGTCCTTATCAATTTCTTCATATTGTTACACGTGAGGACACATCTCCTTTACTTCATACTTCTTCTACAGTTCTTAAGTATGCTATGATAATTGAATGTATTATTCAATCGACTCTGCATGCAAGGCTCCCAATCTTTTGCGCATCACTTACTATTAGTTATTTAAATTAAACTAATATTTATATTTTCATAATTTTCAAATAAAGCTCAAAAGAAATGTAAAACACACTCTAAATACTAGGCTAACAAGACCACCGATACTGAGAGAGTCTAGGCATACTAAAATGAATTAGAAGGAACCTTCCATTCTTGTTTTGAAATTGGGCAGTCAACCAAATGTGGGAAGTAATTAATTAAGTAAAACCCTCAGAATTACCACCAAAAGTGTTATAATAGAATCCTACTACTGAGGTAAGAAGAATGAAAAACAAATCCATTAGTTAACATATAAGTGGAAACGGGCCTCATTAACAAGTAAATTATTATAGATAACCAAATAAACGAATCATATATGACTCTACACACTGCTTGAACACTCAAATTAATCGTTCATCAAGTAATAGAATGAAGAAAATTCACTCAGTCAGTTCTCATATTAGTAATTAGTTCACCAATATAAAGATGAAAGTTTTAATTAACATCTTGATGATCACACTCGAAACAATATAGTTTACAATGAAATTGCATCTAGCAGCGAATTGGATAAAGGCAAGAGACTATTTACTGAAAATAAAGTTGAAGAAGCACTAAGAAATTTTTTAAATTACTAAAACAAATATGGATTGCATCCTGAAGCATTGTACATCTCAGGATTGTGTTACATGACTCTGGATTAAGAAGAAAAATACATTGAGTAATTTTCGGCTCTAATAAAGACTTTTCCAAAATTCAAAAGAACTTCATATATGTATTTAGCTCTTTCTCTTAAAAAAAATAATCTTATCAATGAAGCAATACATGTGATATCCTAAGGTATCAATCATTTCAACAGATACTTTGAAGCTCTGATATTTAGAGCTAAATTGTTCTTGAAGATCAAGAATTATGAAAAAGCTATCAAAGATTTTCAATCAGCAATTTAAGTGAATCCAAATAAATCTATTTGCTATGTTGGATTAAGTGATTGTTATAAGCAAACTAACTAAGTTTAACCTGCTATTGAAGAGTTGAATAAGGCACTTGAATTTGAAGAATTGTCTAAATAAAAATAAATTCTCTTAAAAAGATTCACAATCTATTTAGACAATAAGGAATTCGAGAAAGCAAAATAAGATATGAACCTATTACTTGAAATTTGTCCAAATGATTCCGAAGTTTATTATTTTAAAGGAATTTTAATGCAAAAGTAGAGTAATTACTGTATTTGATTTTAGAACGTCTTTAAGATGCACTTTTGGCGTTTGAATAGTCAATTAAGGTCAATAGTGAAAAAAAACCAGTCACTAAAGCTCTTTATGAAATTGTGAAAATAAAGATTGAATAAAATGATTTTTATTCCGCTTAGCATGAACTTGATAGAGCAACCTATCTTGATGTTGATAATACACAATTATAAAAATTTGAGCTCTTTGTTGGAGGAGCTATTTATTTAATGAAAAGAAAATTTGAGGATGGTGTTTAATTTTTAACAGAAATGATCACTAAGAATCACTAAAGTGATAATCTGAAATTTTAAGCCCATCAATATAGAGCCTATGGATATTTTTGTATGTCGAAGTTCAATCTTGCGAAACAAGACTTAGAATTATATTAGGAAAACCTTTTGGAGAAAGTAATTTTGTTAAAGATTATAGGCATCTCTTTATAATAAGTTTCTTTGTTATGGTATAATTAAATATGAGGATAATGAATTAGAGTAAAGCAAAAGAGAGTTCTCGCTTGCTCATAAAATGCTTCCAAACAAGATGGAACCCCTATTTTATCAAGCCATTATTCAAATTAAAAAATACTGCACTTGCTAACAATCGAGTGAAGAAAATAGGTTAAAATATCTTAAGGATGCATTAAATTTACTTGAAGCAGCCTCAAAGATTTGTGAATAATCAAATTTGCTTTTCTACAAAGGGATCTTGCACTTTGCCTTTGGAAATCTAGAGAAATCTGCCTTGGACTTAGAATAGGCCATTGAAAAGTCTGAAGACAATCAAGCATAGCATTATTATGTAAGAGGATTGCTTCATTGTCAACAATAACTGTTTAAATAAGCAGTTAATGATTTTACAATTTGCTTAAGTTTAGATTAAAATCATTCAGAATCCTATCTGAATAGATGTAAACTATTAACAATGATGGGAGAAGTCGGCACTGCATACCTAGATCTATAAAAATATGTTGAATTAAGAGAGCAATATTCAATAAACTATCAAACTGTAGGAATTCTATATTTTTTAATTGGAGCCTATGATGAAGCTATCCAAGCATTCAGTAATTGCAGGACCCTTGAAGGATACTATGAGAAAGTTAAAGTCTTAATTTATGGGAAGGAATTGAATTCAGCACTCAATGAACTAACCATTATCATAGAAGAAATGCATAACCAAGAAGCAGTGATTGACTATTAAGTATTAACGATACTTAGGGAATCTAGTTTATAAATATCCACAAAGATTTTAGAAGATAGCATTAACAGCATAACCTCAATCTAAAAAATGCAATAGGAAGGCTTGATATTTAGGTCATCTGATATCTATTTCTATAAAGGTTTATTCTATACGTATTTGGGGTAATATTCCAAAGCAAAATAATGTCTTAGCTTTTCATATGATTTAAAGGAAAAAGAAATTAAATAGTCAATAAACGACTAATTAATTAATTAGAACAATCTTGAAGATTTTGATTTCACCAATAAGACTTACAATATCTATGAGCATCTCTATAATTGTGCAATTTTAGATGTTCTGTTAGGGAATATGGATGAAGCCTTTGAAACTCTCACTTTACTTCTTGAACATTTAAGTTAAATAGAATTTAGAGTTTAATTGTAGATTTTAGTGGATTTATTGCGCGATGATTTGTTGGATACACCTCCTGGAGAACAGTTTTCCTAAATCTAGGAATTTTAATTATTTCCTCAACATAATCGACTATGTTCTATTTATCCTGCAATTTAATTATAATTGAAAAAGTATTCTTTCTAAATTAGAATGTCATTTTGCCTACCAATCGTTGAATTCCCTTCATAACCTATTGTATTTGATGAGCAGCTACTTCTAAAAATATCTGTAATTAAACTCTTTATTTTTAAAGCCTAAAGTTGTAGAGAATAAGCCAGAAGCTCCTTGGATTAAAAGGTCAAATGAAGGAGTGATCTTTACCGACAACATTCAATGTGTTGATGAGTTGGATCTACAATCTACTGTTAGATAAGAAGACAACGAAGAAAAGCAATAACAAATTACTGAACATTAAGAAGAGAATGAAATAACTAAATTGAAGGAGAAACTTAAGTTAGATGATTAAATAGCTAAAAAATTGAATTCGATATTGTAATAAAATGAAAAATGAATTTCTATTTTAAATAATTACAATCTGTTTAAATAATATTGTTATCTTGGAAGATAATTTTAACTAAAAGTAAATTATTATATTTAATAATTAAAATGTAGGATCATTGAAATTCTCTACCACTTATTTATATTACCAATAATTCTAATAAAGTATAAATAATAAATTAATATTAATTTTAATATTAACAATTAATTGGTTAATTAATTGATATATTTCTCTATTTTTCATGATGCTGTCCTATAAATTAGAAAGCTTTAAAATTCATATTCATAATATTGTGATATATCTTAATAGTTAATCAAAAGAGTTGATCTAGGAATATATCCTCTAAATATCGTTTTGCATCTATTATAATATATTCGACCATTCAAAAAAAGGATAAATTATTGAGAAAATTTTATTAATTAAAATTTGTATAATTAATTTAGAAAAAACAAACTAATAATTTAAATTATTAGCTTTTTTCTGTTTAGAAATATCTATCATCGCCTTCTATCTGGCAATGTTCTAAAATTTACTAAATTCTGAATAAAGATGTTATTACATATAATAAAGCTCAATTTATTCAGATAATTTAGTTATTTTTATATCATATTATATTGATATGGGGTGTGGATCTGGTAAACCCGTGGAGGTGGACAATCCAAACAAGAGTAGTTACATCTATATTACGCTTAGTTAAGGATGTAGCTCATTTCTAAATTTCTTCGTCAGGCATGGTTGCTGAAAAACAAGGATCAATAACAAATGATTATACTCTCCTTAAACCTCCTATTGGAAAAGGTTTCAATTGATGGATAACTTTAGGGGCATTTGGAGAAGTCAGAAAGGCCATTCACAAAGTCACTAATCAAATTAGAGCTGTAAAAGTAATTTCGAAAGAAAAAGCGAGCAAGGCTGAAGTGGAAAGATTGAGAATAGAGATTGAAATCTTAAAAAGATTAGTAAGTCATAATAGAAAACAATAGGATCATCCAAACATTATAAAAATTTATGAGTTCTATCAAGATCATAAAAACATCTATATCGTGACAGAATTATGTACAGGGGGAGAACTTTTCGATAAAATTCAAGATCAGCAGGCCTTCTCGGAGAGAAAGGCAGCAGAAACTATGAAACAGGTTCTTAGTGCTGTTAATTATCTGCATAAAAGTAAGATAGTACATAGGTTAATAATTGTATTATAACATAGAGATTTAAAACCAGAGAACATTTTATATGAAGCAAATAAACCCCAAGCATTACTAAAGATAGTGGATTTTGGTACTAGTAGGGTGTTTGAAACAGGTTATAAAATGAATCAGAAGTTGGGGACAGTATAAATATAACTAATTTTAAGCCTTATTATATAGCACCTGAAGTTTTGGAGAGAAAATATGATGAAAAATGTGATGTATGGTCATGTGGTGTGATATTGTATATTTTACTTTGTGGACTTCCACCATTTAATGGGGAGGATGAGGAGGAGATATTAGAAAACGTTAAGGAAGCCTAATTAACATTTGATGGAGAGGAGTGGAATCAAATTTCGTATGAAGCAAAACTACTGATCAAAAAAATGTTAGAGAGAGATCCAAAAAAGAGGATTAGTGCTGAATAAGCATAAAGAGATCCATGGATAACTACTTATGTTAAAAAAACTGAGATGAATTTACCCTAATTAACAAAGGTTCTCAATAATTTAAGAAATTTCAGAGTGGAAAAAAAATTCTAAGAGGCTGCATTAACTTTCATGGTCAATCAAATGACTACTAGTCAAGAGAAATAGGAATTATTGTAATAATTTTAGGCACTCGATCTAAATGGAGATGGAAGACTCTCCAAAGAAGAATTAGTTATTGGTATATCTTAATAACTATTTGATAGGATATTCGAAAGTAATGAGTTATACTGATGCAGAGTTGGAAGTAACTAAATTAATGAAGTACATAGATTAGGATAAAAATGGAAGCATTGATTATTCAGGTAGGAAATATTTAACTAAATTTAGAATTTGTATTGGCTACATTTAATAAGGTGAAACTAATAGAAGATGCAAGATTAGAATAGGCATTTAAAATGTTTGATAAAGATGGAAGTGGCTCGATATCCATCGATGAAATCAAAGGCATATTTGGATGCAATGAAGCAGCTGTAAGTGATGAAGTCTGGAAAGAATTGTTGGCTGAAGTGGATGCCAATGGTGATGGTTCTGTAATAATTTAGTTTATTTCTAGATTTCCTTTTAAGAGTTTAAAGAAATTATCATCAAGGCAATCAATGCTAATAATCCAGAGCAAAAGGCTTTAAAGTGACTAATATTTATATATATAGATTATCTTTTCTGCTTTCTTTATAGTTATCTTTTTGCACTCTTCATACTCCAAATGAATCTATTCATATGATCAAATAACAATATCTTAAGAAATATAGGATAAAACTCATAATAATACAGAACACTTAAAATTTCATTTATATATATTATATAAATCAGAAGTATTTTTGCAATATTTTTTAGTAAAGAGTCATCTCTGGAACATATGATGGCTTCATCTATGGTTTCTTTTTGCATTAGTTTTGTTTCGAATTCTTTACTTTAGGTTTCCTTTATTCAAGTTTTGTGTCATCTTTGCCAAACTTTGATGTACATTAATTGCTGAGATCAGCCAATTCTGTTCTAGATTTCTATTATAATGAGAAAATGCGCTCTCTCTATCTACTTAGACTTTTATGCAACGATTCTTGATACCCACTACTAGCGCGAACTTATAACAGCATTTTAATTAATTTATGGAAAAAGATTAACTAAAAATGAAAGACAATCATAAATGCACTAAATATCAGTATGGATATTAGGTTTAAATAGAAATTGCAGCAAGTGTCAATATAGATAATCTTTTTGGAATTAAGGATCCTGAATTACGTACTTCTACTATCTATGTAAAATATTAACGAATTTGTTAGGCTCTATAAATAAAAAAAGAGCTAAAATTAGAAATCTTGTTAGTATTAATACTGCAGTTACGAATTGAAAAGCATAAGGAAGCACTTCTAAATCTTGATGAAAACTATTTATATGATGATTCATTTTGTTAAAGGATCAGATCATGTAAAAATTCTACAAATTAGCTTTTGTTAAAATGCTATTCAAAAGATTTATTTTAATAATTTAAAAGTATAATTTAAACTTCTGTCTCCTTTTTAAAATTGATTGAAAATATTATAAAGATTATTAAACTAACCAAAATTTATAATTTTCTTATTTCTTATTTGAAAGGCATTTAAATAAAATAATATTATTTAATTCCTATTTTTTAAATTAGCTATTCGTATAAAGAAGATTTATACTACCAATTTCTCTATATATGAAAATGATTACTCTTTTTCATTTTGAAACTAATCATAATGAATATGTAAATTTTACAAGAAAATATAAAACAAAATATTATTATTGATAAAATAACCTAAAAGTCTTAATTTTCTATTTAATAATCATCATAATAATCTTTAATATTTTAATCTAAATTATAATCTGATGCTTATTTGAACTTAATCTTTGGTTAATGAATAATTGATTGCAATCTGATCAATTTATTTATTTATTGTAACTACAAAATGAAGTTCGCTTGCCCTCAGAAAGCTCATGCCATTCAATTTGAATCTGCTTGGGATTACCTCAATCATCTTCAGAAATGTCATATAATCAATGATAGGATTAAGGATTGTGGTGAGACTAGAAAGTATGTGTTGAATATATTTGAAGTGAATATTATTTTTGTGCTTCTTGTTTATAAGTTTTTGAGCTGATAACTGAGAGAGACATGCATTAGCATCTCTGCAAAGTCGATAATTTTAAGTAATTGTTCAAAGATGTCAACGTAAATTTTAGTTCAATTTTAGAAACCTATTCCATTGGGTAAATCTGGAACTTCGAAGATTCAAGAGCTGATTAGATTTTACAAGGATATCATTCATCCTAAACAACGAAATACAATCGATTCTGATTAAACAGAAAAAGATGACTTTTAATAGGAAATAATTGAACCATCTGATTCTAGAGCATTTCTGCAAAAAACTGTGGAAAACAGCTTTAACCCAAAGACCATGATCAAGAGTTCAAGGTTAACATTTAGTTTATTAGGGGGACATACAAAAATGGAGGCTGCTTATTATAAATTATTTAATAAATTAGTCATAGAATAAATTAATAAGGAATATCCATTTAAAATTACCCCAGAAAGTTTTAAATTATTTTTCCAAAAAAATAACATTACTCTCAGCAAAGAATTGTTGAATGAGGCTAAAGTTTGTGAATTTTGTGAGTCTAAAATAGATCAAAATCCAGAAATGTACCTTTAAATAATATAGACCAACAATTCAAAATCAATATGGTTGATGATTCCTGAAATTCACAATCCTGTCAAGGAGTTCGTATTCGATGAACCATGGTGTGTGTTTAAAATAATGACTAAATAGGTTATTTGTGAAAAATCAATTGATTTAATTAAAATAAAGAAATAGGACCCAATAATTTCATAATTAGAATATTAGATACAATAAGAGGAACTAAGAGGGAATCGATTAAAATAACAATTGCAAAATAGTGTTGATGATCTTGATTCAGTGTTGAAATATTTGACTAAAAAAAATTAGAAATTAGATTAATAAGAAAATTTATTAGTTAAATTGCAAATCAAATTAAGGGAAAATGATACAAACAATAAAAATTTGGTGAGTCAATATCTAGCACTCAATAGTAAAAAGCTATAACAAGCAGAGGAGAATTTAATTGGATTTTATTAAAAGATGAAAAACATGGAATCTGAGAAACAAATTACTAAATTAGATGAGTTAAAAGTAGATTTACATGAAAAAGAATTGAAATAAAAAAAATTAAAGGACAAAGTAAAGTCTCTTTTTGAGGAAAAAGAACAGTTAATACAAACATGCAATGACAAAAAAAATAAAATTTAATAAACATAGAAATAATTAGAAGACAAGATAGCAAAAGCATCAGTAACAAGAAAAAAAGTATATGATATATTGATATTAAAATAGATTTAAAAGATAAAATAATTACTTTGTTTCTAATGCTAAACAAGAGAAAGAAATGTAGTTTAATTTCCTTGCTAACATTTTTTATTTTGTGAATAGTGTTATCTTAGCAACATTCAATAGAAGAACTTAAAATGCCCACTAAAAGAACAGAATAAATGCTAAACTGAGAATATCAATAATAAGTACAAACTTGTTAACATCTAAAATGTATGAGCATTATATTTAATAATATATAAATTCTTATCTAAAAGAAAAATGTCTAAGAGAATCCTTGAAATGGATAATATTAAAATTGTTATTCAGCAAAAATTCTTTAATTGTATAGAAATAATTTATATAGAAATTATATGAATTGAGCTAATTCAAAATTTTTTAGAGAATAGTTGAGACTTAATTTAGAAATTGATCTTGTTTATGCTGTTCTATTTAAAATGTATATTAGTAGCTTTTTGAAAGTTGAGTTTTAATTCTAATAGTAATGAAGAATTTTATTTTATTAATATATTTAAACTGTTATTTTAGCTTCTTAATCTTTGTATTGAACAGTAATTTAAGAACCACAGAACATTACTGATGGTGTCTATATATTAGTGTGAACAATCTACGTTTGAATGCAATCAATAAAATCAAAGTAGAATATCTATATCAATTTATAGCTGTAGTGCAATCTCAATAGAGTTCTAATTGTTAAAGATATAGAATCAGATTCAATAACAAATATAGATAATATTTTTGTTTAAAAGTGATTTCAAATTCAATTAAGTTAGTCTCTCTCTTGATTTGATATCAACAATGATGAATATTAGTATTATAATTGAATATTTATTCTTTGCATTAATATTTTAATGAAGAAAAAATAGTCATCGAAATTTTAATTAATATTAGAAATGTTACAATATAAAATTTAATAAATCGTTAGTTCGAAATGTTATTAAAAGAACAATAAGAATATAAGTTGAGGTTAATTGAGGAGAGAATGGAGTAATATGAAACAAGTCTTTTGAAGAAGGTCAATCACTTGGAAGAAAGGATTAGGTCATTTAATCAAAAATTTGAAAGAATTGATGAATTAAGTGAAAGAGTTAATGATCTACATTCTTTGTTTGATAAACTTAAAGAAAATTTTGATACAAAATTAATGTTACAAGATGACAAAATCACAAAAGCAAATTTCAATATAAATAAATTAAAATAGGAAGACATCCAACAATTATACAACTTAGTTAAAAAAGGGTTTCATAACTCAAAAGATTTGTCTCTAGATATGCAAAATATGAAGACTAAAGACATAAGGCAATCTGAGGTCCTATTCAAATAGGAATTGAAACAATCCAATATTTTAGGAGAAAGATTATAATCACCTCTTTTGCATTAGAGAATGGATAGTTATTAAAAAAGTGATAGAATGCGATCTATAACGTTGGAGAAGGATAAGGGTTAGGAGCTGAAGGTGAAATTCGAAAATGAGGATTTAGAAACTAACAAACCAAATTCAAAGGGTATCACAAAAAATGAAACTCAAAAATTAATTGATAAATATTAGTTCACTTTATAAACTAAACTTCAAAATGAGAGTAAGTGATTGTAATATAGTTAGATATTTAGAAGTTGAGCAATGTAAAGATTGAAGTGCAAAATACTGAATAAAGTAAGATACTTACTTAATAACAACAATCATTACTAGAGAGAACAATATCTTAAGATCATATTCCAAGATCAAAATACTTGAATAGTACCAATCAAATTAAAGAATAACTGAAAAACTTAAGGAAATGAATTATTATATATATCAAATATATAATTAAATAAAGAATAATAAATTTAATTTGGTTATTAGAATGAAATAAAAAGCCCCCTAAATTTCTCCTAATAAATTGTATGCAAGTCTTTTAAAAAAAAAAAATGAATCAGATTAATAATAAAAGATAGTGAAATCTCCAGTAATTCAAGGAAACGTGTATATTAATTCATTGAGGTATGGCATTGTTTGTAAATTTAGAAATAATTAAGGATAGTTAAAGGTTGATGCCAAGAAATCAAGACCAACGAGTGGAAAAGATCTTAAAGATATAAGCACAGTGCTCTTAAAGAAAACTCATGCTCGTTAAAATAGTAAAATCATTGAGACCAAAGAAAATTCATAAAATTTAACATAATCAGCATTGCAATTATTATAAAAAATTAAAGCAGAACGTCCAGACAATAAAATTGGTTAAATCTAAACTTCAAAGGAGATTTTACAATATCATTAGTAATTAATTTAAAAATAATATTAAAAATTACTTGACTTATCAAAATAAACAGAGCACAATTAGTTATAACAACAGCAATAACAATAATAATAAAAATAAAAATTATTCAAAGGACCTCGCTCAATTAGTAATCCTGATATCTCTACTCTCTAACTCTGTATTACAAAAGCACATGCAAAATCAATACCTGGAATGCTTTACACTGGTTAAACCAAAATTAATTAAGATTCTTATAAATTAATACAGAAATTTGGAACAAAGGAAAATGATTGGTATCTTTAGGTTTCTGATGGTCATGGAACAAATGGACATTAAGTAGCCTAATTTGTATAAGAAATACTACCAGCCTACATAGAATAGGAAGTAATGGAAGCTCCCTATTACTATGATAGAGATAAGTAAGAAATTGAATTAAAACAAATTAGAACGATAAATAACATCTTTAAGTAATCCTTTTTGAAGACAAATGAAGATCTCTTAAGTTCTGGCATTGATGTGACCTACTCAGGAGCTACAACAGTTGTTGTAATAGCATTTGAAAACATACTTTATTGCGCAAATATAGGAGATAGTCGAGCTGTATGGATTATGAAAATATATTTAGATAATAGGGAGATATGATACTAAATTATAAGTAGTAGAATTATCAAAAGATCACAAGCCTGATTGTTTTTTAGAGCAAGCTAGAATAATTCAGAGAGGAGGCCGAGTTTAGGCATATAGTGATGAGGATGGGAATCCTATAGGACCAGCAAGAGTATGGAAGGCAGATGAGGATGTACCTGGATTAGCAATGTCAAGAAGCTTTGGGGACTATGTAGCAAGTTAAGTAGGAGTCATTTGTGAACCTGAAATCATTAAGCATTAACTATTACCATCAGACAAATTCTTAGTTGTTGCATCAGATGGTATTTGGGAGTATTATAAATAATTTATTAATAAAGATTCTTATCGAATGAATGGGTCATCGAAACTGTCAATGAGTATTATAAAAAAGGAGATGCCATGGGAGCATGCAATAAACTAACCTAAGCTGCAAAAGAAGCTTGGTAGAGGGAAGATGAAGTAATTGATGACATCACTGTCATTTTGGCATTCTTCAAGTGAAATTTATCTACATATTTAAGTGTTATATTTATCTCTTAGTTGCTATATGAGAATTCTTGTTGAATTTATTCTCTTTGATAATGTTTTTAGAAACCCAAATATAAAAATTAAGAATGATAAGTTATTATTTATAATATATAAAAAAAAATGGATTATGAGTCTTTGTATAAATTGATCCCGAAAGAACCAAAGAAATGGTTGACTCAAGATGTCATAAACTGGCTAAAGTTTATAGGCTTAGGACAAATGGAATAAAAATTTGGTATTTAAATATGAAGAAAATAGTTGAATGTTCTATTGATGGAGCAGTTTTGGAAGACTTGACAGAGAAAGATCTAGATGAAGAATTAGGGATCACGTAAAGAATTATTAAAAGAAAGCTGTTAAATTGTAACTCTGTTTTTTTATTTTAGGGGTAAATCATGGACTAAAAGAATATAATGAATATATAAAATAAATGAAAATGCCAAATCTAAACAACAAAAAATAGTAAGATGAGGATTTCACGATACAAAAAAACGTTGGAAATGCTCAATTCGAATAAATGTTAATGGAAAGTCATGAAAATAATGGCAACGACCAATTCACAAGTTCAGTTGCTCGATAAGAAGAATAAGCTATAAAATAAGAAATACCAGGATTTAACAAATTCGAACATCAATTAATTCTTTAGCCGATAGAAGGCTAGTAGTCCAATTTTTATTGTGTTCGAGAAGCAGGTGCCAAAATTGGAAGGCATTCTAGCAACCAAATTCTAATTTTGGAAGAGAACATCAGTAGATTTCATGCTGAGATAATATTCTAAGATTCCATGGTATTTAAGTATTGCTATCTCATTTAGTTTGCACTTAAGGATATAGGAAGTACAACAGGAACTTTTATTAAAATACTTAAAAGCTTGACATTAAAGTAAGGGATGTTAATAGAATTGGGAAGTAATTAATTTTGTGTTTAGAAATTGGAACAATTAGAAAATGGAGGAATTGAAGTAAGACTCCATAAAATTGCTAGATCTCATTATTCGTAATTGAAGGACCAAATTTAGAAGATACCATCATATTTCAATTAAATAAAGATAAACCATCTGTAGCACTTGGGAGGAAATCAACTGTCGATATCTCATTCCCTGAAGACCACCATTTATCAAATTAGCACGCAAAGTTTTATCTAGTTGAGTAAACAGTCACTTTGGAAGATCATGGATCAACCAATGGGTAGAGATTTTAAGTTACATTTCTAGATCTTGGATGAGATTATCAGGAGAAGGAAAAATGAGCAATTTATTTTATTTGGATCCAAATGAAGAGATAATCATAAGAATAGGAACTACAAATTAATACATTTGCCAATAAAATAAAATGAAGGTTAATGAAATCTCAGGAGAAAACTTGTGCATAATTTGTGTTGAAAGAGAAAGGGATTGCTTAATATTGCCATGTAAACATAATGCCACTTGTTTGAAATGTAGTAAGAGTTTAGCTCTCTGTCCCTTCTGCAGAGTCAAAATCCAAGAGACTATTAGAATTTATAAAAATTGACCTTTGATTAAAATATATATCTATCTATTATGTAATCATTATTGATATAATTTATGAATTAAAATTCCGATATTTCAACATGCTTCTCACTACTTTTATTTTTTTCATAATATTGTCCAATTTAGACTTGAATTCTCAACTCAATATAGAGGTAATTATCTCCTTATATGTATTCGATTAGGAGTGTTCCTGCTGAAATTGAAGGCAAGTTATCTTTATTGCAGTAAAAGCAATCAAAAGATAAAAAAGATAATATCACCCCACCTATTATTTTGTTATTCTAATTATGAATTAAGCTGAGCACTTTCCTTTTAAAGTGTCCAAAAATTGGTAGAATAATGAATTCAATTTATTACCACTTGATTACAAAATATGTGAGTCTAACTCAAGTAAATATACTATGGATAAAAGAAAATAGATTGCACTTACTTAATTATAAATATGCAGTAATGATTCATATGCATTGAAGTTAGGAGAATCATCAAAAATATTAATATAAAATAGTCCTCTCTTCATTATTCAAGTTAGCCTAAACAAATATTAATCCATGATATTCTTTGAGTATTTTTTCATTTCCATATATAAGATTGATAGTTTCTTAGGTGCAAACCGATCCAAAATGGTTGAGGTGATACAAAGTTTTATCAAATTCTTTGTCCCTGATCTATTTTCCTATTCTACTTGTTTATAAATAAAGATAATTAATTAATATTATATAAAATGCAAAATGAATTTGACATTGAAGTTAATTTTGAATAAAATAGTTCTATGACATTCGAAATGTTTAAATTTATAGCTATTAGTAGTGGACATAATAGTGTTAGATTTCCAAAGGCAGGAATAAAAATAAACAATGAAGGTTTAACGACAACCAATGGTGAATAGATACAAATTACTTAGGAATCAATAACGCATTAATAAATAAAAGTCGGAGATGTTATTGGATAGGGAGTATCAAGCTATGTTTGCAGAGGATTATATTTACCTTATAATTGCTAAGTGGCTCTAAAGGTTAATTTTAATATTATAATAACAGATAATTAATGTTTTCGATAAGGATAAGAGACATTAGATGTTAAATGATCTAAGCACACTCTTAAACGGTTGTGAATGTGAATAATTAATCAAGTTTTATGGTGCATATTATGAAGAAGGTAGCTCTATCATTGATTTTTGAGGGACCATAAGATTAGTACTTGAATATATGGATCAAGGATCATTGCGAAGCATCATTCAATAAATCTATAAGAATAATTTAAGTGAGGTGATAAATGAATAAATAATTGCAACGATAACATATAATATTCTCATGGGATTATAATATTTGCATTAGCAGAAGCATCAACTTCACAGAGATATTAAACCAGAAAATATTCTCATTAATAGTTTAGGATAAATAAAATTGACAGATTTTGGAATTAGTAAATAATTGGAAAACACTATAGCAATAGCCAGAACTTTTGTCGGTACTTTGATGTACATGTAAGATATCACTCCTATTTGCAAAGGTCTCCAGAAAGAACAGAAGGTAAGAACTACTCTTATGCTTCGGACATATGGTCATTGGGATTAATCATTTATGAAATGGCAACTGGTAAGCATCCATACTCAGTCTCCAATAAGTAAATGACATATATCCAAATGATTCAGAATATTCTGAAATCTGAATCTCCAAAATTGGACAATTATCCATACAGTGTAGAAATGAGGGACTTTGTGAACATCTGGTAAGATTTGAATAGGATTTTAGTTTAAACAAGGACCAAAACAAACGTTTAGATGCATAGACCTTATTGCAACATAATTGGATTGTAAAGAATGCTTAGAATAGTCAATATGTGTAAATGTGGATCATGCAGAAGGATCAAAAGTTACAATTAATGCAACAGAAATGAATTTATATCAATAATTTAACTATTTATTGTATATTATTAAAATTTGAAGCAATAAAAAAAAATAACTTATTTTTATAATGGATTTAGAAATAGTAATAAATTATGAGCAAAACCAGTCTGCAGTCAATGATTTGTGCGAGTTATTTGATGAGTTTGAAGAATAAAATGAAAAATATCATTTATATATGAATCGTGGATCTCGAAGGGAAATGCTTGACAGAGTAAGATTTTACAATTAATTATTCTTAGTATTAAGTTTAGAATAATCATTATGCAATTTTTGATGGTCATGGGTCCTCTCATGTTGTCGATTACTTATAGCAGAATTTGTTACAAAGATTACAAAATGAAATGTCAGATGAGGAATATAAAAAAGGTATTGTATACAATCTAATTTTTGTAGTGTTTAGTGACATTGATAACAATTTAAGTTAGTACATGTAATCTGGGTCGGTCGCTATATTATTGTCTATTTAAAATAAAACTGTTACAATAACAAATCTAGGAGATTCCAAGGCTATTGTATTCCGAGAGAATTCATTTGAATAATTAAATTCTATTCATATACCCTAATCCAAAGAAGAAAATTAGAGAATACTTAAATAAGGAGGGTACAATTATTATTTCTATCTCATTAGTTTAATTACAAAGAGACAAAACATATGCCGAGTATCAGGATCCTTGACTGTTACAAGATCATTTGGTGATTTTTATCTTAAAAAGTACATCATCAGCGAGCCTGAGATCTTCAAATACTAGATCTAGGAAGGTGATAAGTTCATAGTTATGGCGAGTGATGGTTTCTGGAATGTAAATATAGCAAATTTATTTTAGGAACTTTCGGAATAAGAAGTTTTATAGATCATTCAGAAACTTGATCAAAACAAGAATTTAGCAAAATAGTTATATCAAGCAATATCAAGTGATTATATAAGAGACAATGTAACTATAATGGTATTCCCATTATGAATTTAATTCAATTCTGATTATTGTGTTTTATCTCTTCCTTATTAATTAATATTCAATCAATTAAAATTAATCTGAAGAAATTCTGAAATTCTCACATCTTAAAATATTCAAGAGAAATAAGTAACTATCTCTTTATCTTAATCACTAGTAACTCCTAAACTCTATTATTAAGAAAAACAAGATAAGTCATTGTAGTTTGATTTTGTGATAAATTTATTTTGGATCCGATATACCTCTAGCTTTAATAGCAACAGAATCTCTAAATGATTTACTCATGGCTAATCCTGAATTTTGTTTAGCATCAAAAAAACTAGCTGGCCTCAATATTTAAAGTATCATCACCCTCAAATGGTTAAGCTTGTTCTTTACTGGTCAAAACTCTTTTCCTTTAACTTAAAACATCAGGCTTATGATCATTCGTCCATTCAACAATTTTTCCTTTTATTGAAATATCTTATCTATTCAATATAATATCAATTATGAACAATAACAGTATTCTATATATCATGAATCATCAGGATTGGCACACTATAAATTGTTGTCAGAAATGAATGAACTTTAACAAGTAGTTCCACTTAACGACATTCGTTCTACATAAAGAGTGATTCTCTATAAATATATTTAAAATTCTAGATCCTTTCTAAAAGCTACTAGAAAAGATTTCTCAACTTCTCAAATATTAGATTTGTGATTCTAAATTTATTATATAATATTTTTTTGTATATATTTATTTCATAATATTTTCAATCAACTTAAATTCTGTGAATAATTCTTTTCTATTATTAATATTCTATTTCCTGATAAATATTTTGATTAATTATAACAATTATCCAATTTATTATATTTTGATGATGACATTAATTTTTATAATATAATTAGTTGTTTTCTCTTTTTTCAATACTGTTATTCAATATTTCTCATTGTTTATAATTATTAGAATGTAATTGGTAATGGATATTAATCTGAAATTTACCCAAATCTCTCAAAGGCTTAGAAAATTAATAGGAGCAGCAGGGGCCACTTTAATTAAGGATATTTTAACAACTGCTAACTCACTAAGATGTCTTGTAGATTCATCTTCACCATTCGTGTTATATTCTGACTATGTTTTTATTAGTTTCTAGCTATATATCTTATCTTATTTATTCAACAATATTTGCAACTAATTCCAGTTATCAATAAATAAACCTGCATTTTGCTATTAAATTAATAGTACCAAAAATTGAGATGCTATAGTTAAGGTATAAACTTTAAAAATAATATAATTAATTATAAAGATGAAAAAACAAAATAAATAACATTCAAATTTCTTAAATTTGAATTTAAATTACACTAGTTTTAAAGATTATTGATTTAAAATAGTTGATTGCGTTAAAATTTTGTATCTTCTTTTTAACTATTAGTTAAAAATCAAGCTGAATTAAAATTGTAATGAAATAATAAAAGCTCTATCTTTGAATAACTCACCAAAATGAAACAGTCGCTACATGCATTCCCCTTGGGATAAGCTTCAAGTAACACGTTTAGAGAATATTCACCTACTCGTTACTCTACTTTTATTCATAATTGTTTTCTACAACTACAAGGATTGTTAAAAAAGAAACTTTTTATTTTCATAATTAATACTCTTAGTTTTATTAAAGAAGATAATTTACATCAAAAAATTAGATATTCATAGGAATGCTTTAGAAATTGCAAAAAATTTAACATAAATTGTAGGTATTATAATATTATATATATAATAATTTTGTTAATCTCATATAATGATGGAAAAAACAATTATTGCACATATTCCAAATTGAATTATTTTGAATATTAGACATTTTAAATCTCACTTATATTATTTGTACATCCTCCAATTTATTAGGATGGATTTGCACAGGTTTACTTTTCATCACAATATGATGGTTTATCTTATCCGCAATAGCAACTTTATTTTTTATTTGTTGTGCATTTTTCAACACACTCACTTTATGAAGTTGTAACATATTTGCACTCAAACCCTGATTAACATATCTGTTTCTAGTCTATATTTGATGTAATCAACCCACAGAAACAATCAGTTGAACCATTTTCTGTACAATTTGTTACACATTTCCCAGTGGTGGCATTAAAAATGGTACCCAAATTATCTTGACATACAGAATTATCAGACAAAGCAATGCAATTTCGAGGATCTGTTGAAGTGCATTCTGGCATACAGACGCCTTTAGATTATAATAAACAGTATGTGGAAGCAACAAAGGTCATAGGCATCTATTCCACACAAACAATTATTTTAATACGAATTACATTTTTCAAAACAACTTCCATTTATGGCAGCAAAATCTAAGCAATTTTAACTTTTGTTGCAATTAACTTAATTTACAACCCCACAAGTGCAATTAGACTAAAACTTTTACATGCAAGTTCCTTAATTACAAATGCCATTATCATCATTTAGATCAACAGAGCTTTTCATTGCTTGAACAATTTTCCTTCTTGTAAACATTTAAGACACAGCAATCTTGATTCATGGCAAAACTAATTAAGACAGAAAATTGCAGGTTTATTATGTATAAGACATATAAACTTCTGATCATTGACATCTTACTTTTGGCTAATATTTGAAGAAGCTAAGTTCATAAAAAATATATATATATAATAATAATTTAATATAGAATCTAAATTATAGATTAAATAATTATATCAAATAAAAATAAGAGTCGATTTTTATTATTTGCTATTGATGAATAACCATAATATTAATATAAAAATTAAAGTTTTATATAAAATTATATATACTGAATTCTTTAAAATATATGTAATGATTAAAAATTAGTTAATGATAAATAATATGATCTTAACTTACCCCTGGTCTGAACATTTACTGTTTTTTATATGTCATAAATGTATAAAAACATTTAATTGAATAATAACAATAAATATAATCACATCCATATTCCTAATAAATCTTTTGGTAAATCATCTAATCTCATCAATAATATTCATTATCTACCATTTATTTTGTAATAGAATAAGAACTAGTAAAACTTAGTGTGAAATTAAAATAACTTACTAGAATTTATTAATAAAATAAAATAGAAATCATAAATAGTAATACATAAAAGGATAAATAATGTAATGAATTCAAAATATAGGAGTAGAAAATCAATATACTATTCATAATAATAATTATTCAAATCCTATTTGATTAATAAAAATTTAGTTCTATCTTCAATAAGTGTTTCTACTATAGATTTTTATTTAGATTTTAACATAATTACAATATGATTGTATGATTCTAGTCTAATTATCATTTTATAAAACAACTTCTAATTAGATTAGTTTTATTAATGATAATATAATAAAATATATAGCAATTATTCCCTAACTTATAGGAATAATCTTACAAGACTCTTAGTCTAACAAATTAAAACGAAGTTTCCAATCCCTGATTAAATCAATGCTGTTCAATTTCCTACTCAGTAAAATGTAATTGAATTCTTTTAGAATTACAACCCAATCATTTTAGATTTTACTCACATTTAAGATGTTAAGATTAAACTATACAAAAATGCAGCATTCTATGGAACCTTGGTTGATGGTTTGAGACAAGGATAAGGCATTTTAATAAAATCAACATTACAACTGTATGAAGGTTCTTTTGTCAGAGACAAGAAGGATGGAATAGGATTTGAATTGCTGAAATAAATTCAATTTTACTATGGTACTTACCTTAATGGGTTACCACATGGAGAAGGAGTGTTCTGGTCAAAAAACTAGAAGTATATTGGTTAATGGCATTAAGGGAAGAAAGTATTATACAATCTCTATTATCAAAGCTTGGAATTGGATGGTATCAAGGGACTCATTCCGATTATTATCTTGGGCAATGGGAAAATGGAAGATGTTTTGGACTTTGCATCTATATTAATGGAGACATGTATAACTGACTAATAATTTTAGATATGAAGGTTATTTTACTAATGATCTCAAACATGGTAATGGTTAAGAGTATTTTGAAAATGGAGATTACTTTGTAGGAGAATATAGAAATGGGAAACCTAATGGTCCTGGAGAATTTCATTGGAATAAGAATTTGTCAATGGTTAAAGAAATGGTTATGGAATGTGGGAGAGTAAAACACAAGAAAGTGTAAATATATATAAAGGTTAATATGCTAATGATAAAAAAAGTGGATAAGGAGTATTTGAATATGCTAATGGAACTAAATATGAAGGGCATTTTGTAGATGACAAGAGATGTGGATATGGTGAGATTACATGGTAAGACAAGGCTACTTACAAGGGTTATTGGGTGGATGGATTAATAGAGGGAGAAGGAATATATGAATATGACACATTAGTATTGAAGGGTAATTGGAGAGGCAATTAATTTTAAACTATTGACAAAGTGAGAGTTTCATTAACATAATATAAAATAGATACATGAAGATGAAGAGGTTAGATCATAATTGGCTGATGAACCAGACTAAGATGAAATAGGGAATTAATATTAAGCTGAAATTCTAGCTTCTAAAACAGACATTAATCATGGTAATATTTAAAATACTTCTCATCAAACTAGTCATAATGAAGTGTAATTCCATTAAAAATTACCCATTTTATAAAGATAATTTGATTTGCTTAGTCTTCTAGATTAAGGACTTTAATTTTAGTCTTTAGATGCTTCATAAAGATAGAATAGTTCCAGTGTTGCAATTCAAACAGAAAGTAAAAAGAAGTTTCTTCCAAAATTGATTCTCAATAAGAAAATGCCCACTCAATACAGTAGTAGTGTAGATTATCAAAATAATGGGAATAATAAATTTAAATTTGATTCTTTGTCTAATTCTCCTAATACTAGAGGGACTGATCAATCAAATAAATCAAATAGAGAGTAGAAATAGAAAAAACAAAATAGATCTGTTTAATGTAGAGGTAGGAGAAATAAATAAGTATTATTATCAAAGAAGGAGTAGAATATTTGGTCAATCAAGATGAATAAATTAAAATTAAGTCCAGCTAAAAATACTAAATTGTGGAATCATGAAGTAAGAAATAAATTTCTATATAGATTGTAAGTGAGATAAAGTAGTTTCTATATCCTCCTATTTGGAAACCTCCATCACATTTATCATGAATTATAAATGCTTGACACTTTATTTGTTAATATTTGTAATATAATATAAATTAAAAATTTACTAGTTAAAAGCATTATGATAGATTTACAATAAATAGATAAATAAATTAATATTTAAATAAATTAATCTAATATTTTTAAATCATTTATATGAAAATACATTCGTTTTAAGTTTGAATTGTATTGAATAACTGAAAACTTAGATATGAATTTATTTTTATTATAAAATAAATTATGTAATGATGTTAATTAGAAAAAACTCATAAAATATCTAACAATAAGACTTTTGTTATCATAAGTAGACAAAGGATACTTATATATTAACTATACAACCTCCTAGCGAATTTAATCGTTTACTTTACCATTTGAATCATCCAAATTTATTACTTGTAGAAGAGAATTGGGAGGAAAGAGGATAAATTTGTTCTGTTTAAAAATGTGATACCATCAATGATTTATAAGAAGTAATTAATAATACTCCATAAAATTAGATTATGCAAAACAATAAGTTTTCTGAAGTGATTATTAATAAAAAATAATTGATATTATTATTATATTATTTTTTGATTAGTTTTGAGCTCAAAAAGAACTATATAAAGCATTAATTCATAAAATTCTTGGTTTAGTTGAAACATGGAACTAGATTGTTGTTTTGGACTTCATATATGAAATTAATATCTACTGCCTATCATGAAATTGCAAACCCAAAGATTAGAAGAATAAGTGCTTTTATTATGGAAGTATGAATGAATGGATGTGATAACCTGGATTAAAGAAGAATAGGATGGAAACAAAAAGAAAAATTGAAGATTAGATTTAAGCTTTGTTGATCGATGCTGGAACATTTATCTAGAAGAAGAGAGCAGAAAAGATAAAGAATAAATGAATAATAATAATAATGAATAATATACATAACTCATAATCTTGAATGAAGGCTTTAAGGTGCAATTGTGTTACTCTCAACCAATTTAAATAGTCTAGCATTAAGAGCTTATATTTTTTCACAGATTTAATCTTGATAAAACTATAATTAATAAATTTAAGAACCAGATAGCAGGTAGCTATTTATTACATTTTCCAATGCTTCATATTCATTTTTTAAAGCAAAATCATGCATCTCTAAATGTTTGAAAGTCCATCTTTCTCCACATTTGCATTACTTCCATGAATATTTAAATCTTTCTAGATAGCCTTAGTTAGGTATATATTTAATTTTTAGGTTGCTTGTGATTAGTCTTTCTTTAATTCATAAAAAAATAAATTTTCATGAAGTAAAATTTTTATATTTGATTATTCTAAAATTCTTAATAATAAACTAGTTGAAAAAAGCAATTTATATATCAATTACTATATATGTTATTAAATATATTTAGAGGTATATTTTTCAAATTATATTAAACTTAAAACTTAACTTCCTTCAGTAAGATGAAAGAAATTGATATTTTTATATAATTGATAAAATATAGAAATACTCTAAGTTGCTCTAGAAACAGAAATAAGTGCTTATTGAGTCTAAAAACTAAAAACATGATTTGNTTGAATAACTGAAAACTTAGATATGAATTTATTTTTATTATAAAATAAATTATGTAATGATGTTAATTAGAAAAAACTCATAAAATATCTAACAATAAGACTTTTGTTATCATAAGTAGACAAAGGATACTTATATATTAACTATACAACCTCCTAGCGAATTTAATCGTTTACTTTACCATTTGAATCATCCAAATTTATTACTTGTAGAAGAGAATTGGGAGGAAAGAGGATAAATTTGTTCTGTTTAAAAATGTGATACCATCAATGATTTATAAGAAGTAATTAATAATACTCCATAAAATTAGATTATGCAAAACAATAAGTTTTCTGAAGTGATTATTAATAAAAAATAATTGATATTATTATTATATTATTTTTTGATTAGTTTTGAGCTCAAAAAGAACTATATAAAGCATTAATTCATAAAATTCTTGGTTTAGTTGAAACATGGAACTAGATTGTTGTTTTGGACTTCATATATGAAATTAATATCTACTGCCTATCATGAAATTGCAAACCCAAAGATTAGAAGAATAAGTGCTTTTATTATGGAAGTATGAATGAATGGATGTGATAACCTGGATTAAAGAAGAATAGGATGGAAACAAAAAGAAAAATTGAAGATTAGATTTAAGCTTTGTTGATCGATGCTGGAACATTTATCTAGAAGAAGAGAGCAGAAAAGATAAAGAATAAATGAATAATAATAATAATGAATAATATACATAACTCATAATCTTGAATGAAGGCTTTAAGGTGCAATTGTGTTACTCTCAACCAATTTAAATAGTCTAGCATTAAGAGCTTATATTTTTTCACAGATTTAATCTTGATAAAACTATAATTAATAAATTTAAGAACCAGATAGCAGGTAGCTATTTATTACATTTTCCAATGCTTCATATTCATTTTTTAAAGCAAAATCATGCATCTCTAAATGTTTGAAAGTCCATCTTTCTCCACATTTGCATTACTTCCATGAATATTTAAATCTTTCTAGATAGCCTTAGTTAGGTATATATTTAATTTTTAGGTTGCTTGTGATTAGTCTTTCTTTAATTCATAAAAAAATAAATTTTCATGAAGTAAAATTTTTATATTTGATTATTCTAAAATTCTTAATAATAAACTAGTTGAAAAAAGCAATTTATATATCAATTACTATATATGTTATTAAATATATTTAGAGGTATATTTTTCAAATTATATTAAACTTAAAACTTAACTTCCTTCAGTAAGATGAAAGAAATTGATATTTTTATATAATTGATAAAATATAGAAATACTCTAAGTTGCTCTAGAAACAGAAATAAGTGCTTATTGAGTCTAAAAACTAAAAACATGATTTGTTATGCTGATTTTTTATTCTAAACATCATTAATTTGCTCGATTAATTTAAGCAAAATTCTTTCAAAATTTATTTATTAATTATTATGTCGGTAGATAAATATTTTGAAAAATGCCTAGAATTCCTTCAAAATAATGCTTATATTGGTTGTTTGATATACTAATCTGCTCATTCGATTTAGCTATTAAAGGCCCATCACAATATAGCATATATCAGTATCAGATATTCTCATTTATATTCGGTAGAATTATTTTTTAAAATAGGTTTATGTTTATAAACAAGGACTCAATTTCTCAGAGAATCTTATGGGCCTCATGATGACGTTTACTTTATATAAAATCATAAGAAGACAAAAAATGAGCATCGAGTCAATGTGCTGTTTATTTCTAGTGGTTATGGTGTATTGGATATCTTTGATTCCTTTATTATTTAATTCTGTGGAGTTGGTAATAAAATGTAATATTGAAGTAAAAACAAGTTAATTGTCATTAAATCCTGGTTGAAATCATTAATGAAGGAGATGGAATAAGAGATGAAAAGTTAAGAAGTGATATTCAGAGCATGCTTTAGTATGAGTATTACCTATCTATGACTAATGATGATGGAAAAAAGAGAGAGGATATTGAAAAAATGAGATAGTATATTGAAGAATATAAACTATAGTTATGTTTTGGGTAACATAAAGAAATAATATTAGAACCCCTAAAAATGATAAGACTCCTTCAGACTCTCCAGACTCTCCAGACTCTCCAGACTCTCTAGACTCTCCAGACTCTCCAGACTCTCCAGACTTAAGTAAAGAAGGTAAATTCTTAGAAACACAGATTTGAAATTAATACATAGCAATTTATTTTAGAAACGTTTCTTGAAATTTTATTTAAATGAATTATGTTGTAATTTAAAAAGCAAACTCAAATGAGTGTTCTATCTGAATAATTTAATAGTATATTTCTTATCTTCTATGTTGTCACTTTTATTATTATTTGATTTATCTACTTTCATTCTCTAAATTAAATCCAAATTTTGCATTTTTCTTTATTTATATAATTTCTGGTATTTTCGCTATAGAGAGCTTAAATATTTTTACTACTTGGCTGAAAACTGGTAGCTAAGCATACTAGTCTAATATTTGAATGATCAAGAATATATCTAACTCTTAATTAAACAAATTATTTTTTCACACATCTAACCAACTTTAGACCTTTACCTAATAGTTTAACAATTTAATACTATTATTCATAATATATCTTATTATTTCTCATTACATAATTAAGTCATTATTCGCTTTATTATAATATTTGAAAGACATTCTCATAAAATAACCATAATTTAAAACCAATTCTTGTCCTAAACAGGTATCAAAATAAAACTAAAAATTTAATTGTAATATATTATTTCTAAAAACCTTAATACTCTTTTAAAAAGTCAACATTAATTTTTTAATATATTGCCTTTGATAGAAGGTCTCATTATAACTATAAAGGAAAATACCACAGATTAAAAAAGCTATGATGAAAAAATTAAGCCACTAGTACATTAAGTCATCTTAAATTTTTAAAATCTCTCTGTCCTTAATCTCTCCCCTATACTTTTTTATCCGGTTATATGAGAATGTTATTATCGTACAGAAGAGTGAACACGCTGAAAATTAGAAAAATTATTTAATAAATTTATATATAAATGAATGATCATGGATTAAAAAAAAATTTGAGGTAAGCATTAAACTAGATCCAATTCATCACATTTAAGATAATTTGTATGAATCTTAGAAAACTAGTTTTAATTTGATGATAGACTTAATAATACTAATAAAAGTATTATTAATAATTTATTATAACTAATTAACTTCCTGATGTAATTACAAATATTTTTTTTCAATTTAATACTACATATGAAAAATGCTGAATTTTGAGTAAATTTTTTTGCAAATGAGGGCATCTGAGCCTATTATATTAAAATCTTGTATTTAAAATTACTTGAGACTAAATCTGTCCTATAAAGCTGAAAAAGTTTTAAATAATTTTTATTATTATTTTTATGAACACAATTGATATTTTAGAATATGGACTTAAGGCTTTAGGTATGGCTGTGTAAAAATCAAGAATGGATGTAAGGATGGGTGTTTCCATAATGATAAAAGTTATATTTTTTGCATTATGGTTTTTATAAAGTGGAGATAATAAATATGCAGGAGGGCACTTTGCTACAACATTGATAACATGGGTTGTTTTCCATGTGTATATTATTTTTATTGAACTATCATATATCGTTGAAGGTGCAAATATAATAAAGATGAGGAAGTAATCTTACAAAATTATAGATTCTGTATAATCAGGAATTCTAATAATTTATTTCAGTGTTTAAGTTTACCAATATTCAGAATAAACAGCTTTTAATGTTATCACACTAATTTCATTGTTTATTGATGTTGCACTAAATTTTGATTAATTATTAAAATTTATAGAAAAAGAAAAAGCTGTATCTTCAAAAATAATAATAGACAACTCAGGTGATAATGAAGAAGTTATTGTAACAGGTGGAGAGATTACATTTTATATTTCAATAATGATAGGAGGAATATTTGCTATATTAATTGCAATAGTAATGTTAACTGAGTTAAGAGATAATCCAAAACTAGAAAGTTTTCCTTTTTATGTATGGTCTCTTTATCTTTGTTGGATCGGAGAAGGAGTTTTTGTTATTTTTGTTGCGTATTACTTACTCCCTAAGGTTAAAACACCGAGAATAGATCAAATTGACACTACTAAGGGTTGCTGTGGATGTACTCCAAGCAAACATTTCTTATGCCTAATGTATGGAATATGCATAGGACTTTTTAGCTTATATTATGCATTTTTTTTAGGAATCTATGGATTATTTAAAATCATATAAAAAGTGCTTTAGTGTATTGATTGGTGTAAAAGAAATTCACGATCACAAGTACATCCAGAAAGTTGAAAATTGATAAATATATTTATATGATAAAAATTTATTATTTAGTTTATCATTTTGAATCTTTCTGATGTTAATTAGAAGTGATTTTTTAACTATAAAACTCTATTTTGGTAATGTTGGATATCTCATTTTGTAAGCATGACAAAAGTTTATAAGAGAATCTCATTAACAAAAATAAGTAAAAGATATCGAAGATTACTCTATTTCATCACATTATTTTCTATTTTCGATTAATAATCAAAAAAAAATATCATTTATAGAATCTTTTAGTTCTCTATTGAACATTAGCAACCCTATTTTATCTTATTTTTTTTAACAAGGAAGAAGCAGACTAATTTATAGGATACTTTTGATGAAAAAATATAAAATGTGAATGTCCTTAGTTGGAATAGAAATTATTTAGACATATTTAAAATTTTTATTAAGATAAATAATACTAATAGAATAGTGAAATAACTTACCCACCATAATATTATTTATAGTTAATGATTTAGAATAATCAACTATTATATTCCTTAAACATTTTCATGTATGATTATTTTTATAATGGTCTTTGAGTAAATTTGTATTTATCTTCATCCTTATTTTCTATTATTTTATTAATCTAATAAGAAGAGTTTAGAGTAATTACAGGAATATTGAATTTCAATAATTTAGATTAATCAATAATCTCGATATTCTACAGTAACTAAGATAATTCATATATATAAAATAGTTATTGCAATACATTTTAGATAATAAAATACATTCAGTAAGAATTTAAATCAAAGTGAAATTGAATCAATTAAATCTCTATATAATTAATCATCATACTCACTCTCTTCATTAATGAAATCTATATTTAAAATTAAACTTTAAAAATAAGTACTAAGATAAGAAGACAAAAAAAACCGAATGAGAAGAGAGCTATTTAACTTCATTTAAGAAGCCGAAGAAACTAAATGAATTTAAAAGGAATATATGTGTGTTAATGTTAATATATATATATATAAATAACTTTAAAATAATGTCATATTTCTAATAGTAATATTGAATTATCCCAGATGGATCATAATATTGACTCCATTTATTATATACAAATAGATAATAAATTTATGGTATATACCTACTTATATTTATGCAAAGATAATATTGAAATATACTAAATTTAACGGTAGAACTTTTTGAACCACTAATAATGAGTTCTGAATTAATTGTACTATATAATATAATTAATTAAGTTTAATGCCCTTTAAAAAATGAAATTAAATTATTAAATAAATACTTTATATCCTTATGTTTAAATTAAAAACTTTGATTTTCTTTTGTAGTTCATAAAAATTAGATCAATTTACTCTGAAATTTTCTAATATAGGCAAATATTGAATTTTATTGTTATGAGTTTATTTTACATTTAAGTGCTCCGATTTGCACCTGATTATGTTAAATTTTCTTTAGCATCTAATCGCTATTTTTTCCTTTATATAATGAAGAATTTATTTAAAGTTAAACATAGTTTACTAGTTTTTCTATTTTTTATAGCAGTATAAAAAGAAAATACATATAAAATTGTATTTATAATATATATTAAATATTCAAATTTTAAAGACAACATCTGTCCCTTTTAGTTCTTATTTTCTAATTAGGTCTCTCTATTCTTCTCTTGTAAAGCTTTACAAACATTAAGATATATCTATATAAATTTCCCTTTTATATTCATTTAGATTTTCTAATTGCTCCTTCAATTAATCTTTATTAAATTCACAATTTATTAATATCATTTTAAATAAACGGAGATTTTTAAAATTATATTCTTAAAAATCTAATTTGATATTTTCAAATGTAATATCAAGAGTTTCCAATTACTTACTTCTTAAATTATTAGAAAATTAAAAACTCTAAATAGTTCCTTTATTAATAATTGATGCCTTGAAAAGTTTCAAATAATTGAATTCTTAAAATAATTATTCACAATTATTAAGAATAAGATTACCAGAAACTTCAAAATAAAATTCCTCAAAATTATATCTATCTAATTTTAAAAAATTGTCATTTATATTTAAATTGATTTCTATTCCTACTTAAGCGGGATTATTTCTATATTATTGTATTATTTAGAAATATGAGTATGAAAATGCTATTAGAGTTCCTGTTCTTTCAACACAAAATTCCATTTAATGTTCATTTGTAGCTTCTACTTAGAGTTGCAAAAACTTTAATTATTTTGGGCAATTTCTAATAATTACATTAATATGAGGAATATGGATTGAATTTACTTCATCTAAATAATAATTCAATTTTAATTAATAGATTTGACTCACTATTAAACAACTTATTAAATCATCTAATTCGCTTCCCATACAAAACAATCTTTATGCCTAATCAATTTCTAAAATACTTTAAATACAACCAAGTATATACCTAAACTGAGCTTACTTCTTCAATTTTTTTAAGTGTGAAAAATCAGAAAAATTTATTGTTTTCAAATTAATTTTAAAATTACAAAATTTTTGTATATGATTTAAATATGCTTTTGACATAATAGAGAAGGATTTAGGATATGCTAATAGTATTTGGTTTGGTATTCTGCTTAAATATTAAATAGATTATAAGAATTAATCGACTGAAGATGTGCTTAAAATTAAAGCTGGAATAAAAAAGTCTTTAATAGTTATATGTAGTAAATCTAATATTACAAAAAAAACAGATTTGAATATCCCAAATGACAATATAGTAAATTTTTCCACATCATAAACAGGTGACATCGATAAAAAAAAAACATAACTAAGGAACCACATTGAAAGTGTCTTGTACAGTTGATCTCCAATTCATGCATTAAAAGAATGGGTGTGACGAATATCCTATAGCAAGCGAAATTTTCTCATGTGATTCAAATACTTAAGTAGCAACATTACCCTGAAATCTTAAGGCATATTTCCGAAACTTAATGCGAGTGTTCATACAATAGCTATTCTTTATTCTTAAATATTCCCTATTCACTAAGAGGATTACAACACAACTTAATACTTAATCTAGCTTTATAGTGTTTAATACTAAAAAACCCAGAATAGCTCTAAATCTACGCTGCAACATTAATGCAAATGATAAAGTCGATGTTGCTGAATTGAATGCGATTATAACTAGAAAGGTATATATAAATAGATCAGCTCTATCAATCATGTAAAGAATCAAAAAATATGAATAGGCTGTATCGAAAACATTTTCGATAAACGGTGCTATACATATTTCAAATTTTTCACCAATTCGTTAAAATTCCTTATAAACATCGTACAAACATAACAAACAAGCATTTTAACTAACATATTCTGCAAAAAGTTCTCTTTTGGTTATTCTATCAATTAATTCTTTTGCTCTACTAATAATTATTACACCATGTTGAAAATATTGGTATCTCTAGATTGGAATTAGTTCTAAGAATTCTTCAGAAAGTTATAAGTAACCTTAATTTGTAACATATTTTTTTTCTTATGATTAACAACCAGCAGTTATTTTTGGATTTTAAATAAATTATATTTATTGGACTCTCTTACTTAATTCATCAAAATACGAATTGAATGTTTCAATATTATCAATTGGCAATTTACTGATGGCTTAAGGTTCAATTTTCAAATTTGGAATATTGTTAAAAATACCTCCCAACATTGTTAATTTATCGTCTTCAAGATAATAAAGAATTATTTATTCTACTTTAATAAATTTAAAACAATTAGCTAAATATTACAATGTAACTTCTTCATATTTATCAATAAATTTAAATTCAATATTTTTATACATATTCTACCTTAATAAGTAACTTATATTTATATCATACATTTTTTCTTTTAATAAGGGCTGAAATTACTTGGATCAATATAAAAATTATTACAATAAAAAAAAGACATATTAATTTAATCTGATTTTAATAATTGTTTTATTTCATAAATATACTTTAACTGGATTTTTTTATGTCCCCAATTTTAATCCAATCTAATTTATCTATAAGTTGTAACTAATACAATGAATTAAAATTCGAAATAGTAGTTTATTAAATTAATTACTAATAATCCAAAACAAAACAGGTTTAATCCATCCCATGATCCTTTTAATTAATTAAAAAAGCCTTATATACAGAGTTAAGGGATTGTTTAAATAGCCATTGTTATCATCATTGAGAAGAGAGTAACTCTATGGAATATTAGATCCCTAAAGATATTGACAGGTTTTTTTCTATCTTTGAAAAGCCTACACGGATTTCTATTTTTACGTTTGTAACTCAACTCTTAGTATTTATTAATTTAACTGAATGAAAACTACTTAATAGATTAATCTCTGTTGTAATAAATAATAAATGGAGCTAATTTACAATAGCTTAACCGTCCCATAAACATATAATATAAATAATTAGTAATTTCAACAAAAAAACTATGTTCGTCAATTTCTTTGTAATAATAAGTATACATCCAAGCTAAAATATGAACTACAACCCTTGACATTATAGATAAATTATAACAGAACTCAAAGTATGTAGTATCATCAGCAATATTATTATGTAAGATGTAAATTAATGTAAAGATAAGTTCTAGAGCACTTAAAAGATATAAAAAGGCCTGAAATCCTATTTTAGCATAATATTTCCAAACACTTGAGCATCTCTTAACTTCTATTAAACGATTTTCTATTAATTCTTAGAAGTCACTCTTCAAATTGATCATTTCATGAGGTGACCAATCTAAATGAGGTTCAGAAATAAAACAAAAGTATTTAAATAGTCGTAGGCACATTTTTTTAATCCAATAACAAAAAATAATATCATTTTATAAAATCATTTCTTTTAAAAAAGAACTAAATTTAATTCTACATCAGAAAATTGGTATAATTTTCTAATTTTAATGAATGATAATTAAACATATTTTCAAATTTTTCTAAAAATTAAAATAAAAACTTTATTATGAAAGTAAGGCTGTAAAGTTAATTATTTTCTATAAACTCTCATGCGCTTATCTAAAATATATACTCTAATAAATTAGAAATCAAATGAAGTGTGAAGTATTCTAATTAAATTTAATTATATTAATATTATACAAAAATTGAATAAAAATTTAAAGAGCCCAAGAAAATTCAATTCCATTAAATCTTCTTTAACATTCAATATATATAATTATATTTTAATTTTCAAAATAAACTTTGATATTATGATTATTTTTAAACAGAATCTGATAAATAGAAGTTATATATTAGAATTAAAATTCAAGAAAGATAAAATATCCAATAAAATTAAGATCTTGGATAAAATTACTTATACAAATATCTGAAATTACAACATAATATTAAATCTTAACAAGTTAGAATAAGCTTATTTACTTCTAGAAATAAGTATAATGTTTTACACTTTTTTTAATATTTTACTTAACTTAAAAATCTTAATTAATTATATTTAAGCTTTTAGGAATAATATTTCATTTGAAAAATAAAAAAGAAAGAGAATTATAAATCCCTTTTTTTTTTCATGGAGTAAAATTCTATATGGTCTCACATCTTTTGGCTCATTAACAACAAAATAATTCTTTAACTTCATTTTCTAACTTTATCTAATTTTTTTTGGATTTACTCTTGTCATAAATATTGCCGCAAACTATTTATCCAGAACTTAAGTATAACTTGCATATCCATCTCTAGTGCAAACATTAAAATCATTTGAAAAATAAATTTCATTTCCTACTTTTATCATGTTTCCAAATTCATCTTAACAATCGTTATTAGCATATAAATTATTCACACCAGGCATTAAATTATTTTTAACAATTGAATTGACAAAATTTTGCTTTGTACCATGATACATGATTTTCCATTCATTAGGGTTGCCATCCATTTATATCCAATCTTAATTTTCTCCATATTTTTTAATATCTAATCCAAATCCATAACAACCTCTTGGAAAATAATAATCATATCTGTGATCAGAAGGTCCTCTTTATTCTTTTTCTTTAAAATTACTCCACTTCATATTGTATTTTGGATTAAAATCATCAGAAGAAAGAATTATTCCAGAACTTTTTGCTAATTATTCTCCAGCAACTCTTGCTGAATCAAAGTATGCTAAATATTCTATTTTCCCATTACAATAATTATTTAAATATTCCTATGCAGCTGGAATATTTTATATAAATTATTAAATTTCATAAGTTTTTCCTTTAATTAAAAAATTAATTTCAAAACTTCCCTTTGATACTCCTAAAATTTCAATTTAATCAATTGGAATTTATAGTGAGCTTGANATTATGAAAGTAAGGCTGTAAAGTTAATTATTTTCTATAAACTCTCATGCGCTTATCTAAAATATATACTCTAATAAATTAGAAATCAAATGAAGTGTGAAGTATTCTAATTAAATTTAATTATATTAATATTATACAAAAATTGAATAAAAATTTAAAGAGCCCAAGAAAATTCAATTCCATTAAATCTTCTTTAACATTCAATATATATAATTATATTTTAATTTTCAAAATAAACTTTGATATTATGATTATTTTTAAACAGAATCTGATAAATAGAAGTTATATATTAGAATTAAAATTCAAGAAAGATAAAATATCCAATAAAATTAAGATCTTGGATAAAATTACTTATACAAATATCTGAAATTACAACATAATATTAAATCTTAACAAGTTAGAATAAGCTTATTTACTTCTAGAAATAAGTATAATGTTTTACACTTTTTTTAATATTTTACTTAACTTAAAAATCTTAATTAATTATATTTAAGCTTTTAGGAATAATATTTCATTTGAAAAATAAAAAAGAAAGAGAATTATAAATCCCTTTTTTTTTTCATGGAGTAAAATTCTATATGGTCTCACATCTTTTGGCTCATTAACAACAAAATAATTCTTTAACTTCATTTTCTAACTTTATCTAATTTTTTTTGGATTTACTCTTGTCATAAATATTGCCGCAAACTATTTATCCAGAACTTAAGTATAACTTGCATATCCATCTCTAGTGCAAACATTAAAATCATTTGAAAAATAAATTTCATTTCCTACTTTTATCATGTTTCCAAATTCATCTTAACAATCGTTATTAGCATATAAATTATTCACACCAGGCATTAAATTATTTTTAACAATTGAATTGACAAAATTTTGCTTTGTACCATGATACATGATTTTCCATTCATTAGGGTTGCCATCCATTTATATCCAATCTTAATTTTCTCCATATTTTTTAATATCTAATCCAAATCCATAACAACCTCTTGGAAAATAATAATCATATCTGTGATCAGAAGGTCCTCTTTATTCTTTTTCTTTAAAATTACTCCACTTCATATTGTATTTTGGATTAAAATCATCAGAAGAAAGAATTATTCCAGAACTTTTTGCTAATTATTCTCCAGCAACTCTTGCTGAATCAAAGTATGCTAAATATTCTATTTTCCCATTACAATAATTATTTAAATATTCCTATGCAGCTGGAATATTTTATATAAATTATTAAATTTCATAAGTTTTTCCTTTAATTAAAAAATTAATTTCAAAACTTCCCTTTGATACTCCTAAAATTTCAATTTAATCAATTGGAATTTATAGTGAGCTTGATAATTTTTAAGTAAAATCTGCCAAATGAAATTCTAATAACTTTTTGTCTTCCATAATTTTATCATAATCAAGTTTTTCATTTCTAATCTTAAAGCAAGACTAATCTTAAGAAAAAATTCGTATAACTTAATCCAATCCAAATGATTTTATTTTATTTGATTTCAAAACCTCTATATTTAAATCTCTTAATAGTTATTCTTTTAAAACATAGAGCATCAATTCAGGATTTGAAGCTTCAATATTCTAATTTATATGAGGAATTGATTTTGGTTCAACAACCAATTATAATTTTCTAAATAGTTATTACTAATATAAATGTTTTTTAGTATTATTTTTAATCCTTAGTAAGATTACTATTCTAATCTATTTTATCAAGTTAATTTCTTAACAAACTTATTTATTCATTAAATAAAGGTTTAGCAAGAATATTTTATAATTCCCAATTTTATGTTATGATAGGTTCTAAGCACTACTGTTCGAATAAAAATGTGTAGGCCTTTTTTATATTTAAGTACTTAAATATTTTTAAGGGAAAATAGTTAAAAATACACTCAAATGAACACATTATTAAGAAATATATCATCAAGGATAAACTAATTTGATATTGTATTCAATTTAAATCATACTAATATTTTTATCTTCTTTAGCTCAAGGGTGGTGAAGTTTCCCAGGCCAAGAGCGATTAAGTATTTGGTGGATCCTGCCCTAATGTGATTAGGAATATCCTCATCAAACCAGAGAGAAAAAAGTAACAGTTCAAAGGATAAGGAATTGCCCCTTTATTCTCGAGCTAGATTAATTATCTCTCATGTTATTCTCAGTGAATCTCTCAGTTAAGAACACTGAAAGTTTAGAATGAATTATTTTTTTGAAACAAATTGCTGTAGTTCTAATTGATATATTAATAATAATACATACATACATAAAAATTCATTTATTCTAAAAAATTTTTTTATCATATTAAAATGTGAGGGTCAGATTTTAATAAGATCTGATCGAACAGAGTAATGCTCTGACCGATGCGCTTGCTTCTCAAAACTCAGCTATTTCTGTCTAGTCAAGTCCGATCTAAACGGATTAGTTGAGGTTGGGATTAAAAAAGGGATAAGGTAATCGCTGTTAGGCATCTGAGCCGCAGCCTATTTCTAATAATGTGCTAGAGTCTTCAAAATCTGTGAATATCCTATGTTGGAACCTTTAAGGATACTCCTACCGAAAATATGAGCATCTAAAAACCTCCCACATCATTTTAGCTTAAGAGGCTAACTTGATTGATGGGAAGAAAGACTATAATGTATATGGCTACTAAAGCTATATTAAAGAAAGAATTGGACACCCTCTAATGACTCTGGTTAGGAAAAAAATCCTTCCAGAAGAATCCATGATCTAGAAACCCAAAATAACTTAGTGTTTGAAGTCTTTTTCTCAAAATTCTCCTTATTAGTAGTAAATATCCACTTAACTAGTGGATCTAAGAGAGAGTGGAAGGCCACTCTAGAAAAGTTTTAATATGCTCCTTCTATAATGGTGGAGATATTAACTATTAAATGAAAAAGAATCCAAATCCCTATTATGATTTAATAACTAAAGATGTCACGAGAAAGAATGTGGTTAGAACTAAATGTAGACAAATCGACTATTTAATGATTAGAAAAAATATAGATTGGTAATATGGAATGACGGAATAATTGAGTCATTTTATTAATTTCTCTGATCATAAACCTTTAACTACTTCAATTGTTATACCTAAAGAAGCCTTGTTTAAAATCCCTGTCATCAATACAAAATTGCTTAATCAACACCTATTTCTACTCAAAGAAAAACCAAAAAAAAATTTTGACTATATGAAAATTTGCAACAATCCCTCTTTCTATGGAGTAAAATACATAGATTATGAGATTATAATCAATAAAAAATTCAGTGAATCCATAGAAGCTACTAAAGCCTTACTTTCTCAAAAAAATCAAAAGAGTTTTATAACCTAATACAACATTCTAGAAACCTAAAACATTATAAAAAGGAAGGTTCTATCATGAATTTTGTTCAGCTATTCAATGGTAAATTAATCTTCGATTAAAACTTATGTATATAAGATCTCCTTCTAATTTAACAAGAATAGATATTTAAATATTGCGATCGACTTCCTTAATTAACTTTTCTTCAATTAAACTCTGATTTAGTTAAGAAATTAAGAGGTAACAAAAAGGCTGTCTCTTATGATTTAGTGGAACTAAAACATTTGATGAATTTTGTAGATGCTTAGTACTAATTGGAAATAGACTTTGAAAAAATGATTAACCTTGAGTTCTTATTCTCTATGAGAATTGTTCCTCTTAATAAAATGCATCTCGCTATCCCCCTCTAGGGATAGTTTAGGCCTATTATGGTAATAAGTCCTTTTATCAAACTATTTGAATGCCATTATGTAGAAAGATATTAAAGAATTTGTATGGATAAGATTAATGCTTCCCATATTGGTTTTATTTCCCATATGGGATGTTCGCTCCACATATCTGCCCTAGTAAGAGAGCTGTAATCTTAGGTGAAAAAAAATACAGTTTTTGTGCAATTAATTAGTTAGCTTAAATAAATTCCTACCAATTAGACATATGACATAATTATGGAACTCTTTTATTAAGCCACATTTTGATTATGTAACACCCTTAATGGGATATTTCTCTTTCGCTCATGTGACCAAATGGAAATAGCTATATAGACAATCAATTAAAAAAACATTATAACTTCCTTAATATCTTCCTAATGAAGAACTGGATAAAATTTGGAAGTAATTTGGATTCAGACCTTCGACATTGTTGGAACTCACTCTGCAATAAGCCAACAGATTCCAAGAGGAACTCAAAAGAACCTAGCAACCTATTGCTAAATTAAAACTTTTACATAACGCTAATGATTATTGGTAATAATTGAGAGACCTAAGCTTTGATTAAGGCCCCATTAATAATGAAATTTAAAAAAAAGGGGAAAAAAATTTTTATTTACAATTAAAAATATATTTTTTAGTTTTATGATGGGAGTAAAAATATAACATCCATAATACATTATTTCTTATTTTATTTAAATTAAGTCTTTTCTTTGATTAATATACTATAACCATCTAATTGTGTATAAATATTATATCATTTTGTGTTGGACAATCTCTTTGCAAGATGCATGACAGTCTGAAGGCCGTTCTTAAAAAATTAGGACTATTCTAAAATTAATTGATATTTATAATTTAATTAATTTGAAGATTGTTAAAATTATTTGATTTATAAAAATTTAAATTACTTTACTTCTTTGTAGAAACATTTTTTGTGTAAAATTTGATTCTTTTTGTAGTCAAATCTTATTCATTAAGTATCAGAATTTCAATATTTCTAACTTGAACCGCGTTACTTAATTGCATAAATCTACTCTAGAGACCAAATAGATCACAGAGATCATCCTCCATTTCACTTTGATAACTCTTAAACAAGAACATATTGATTGGGCATTGTAAATTCATTGAGTTTGAATTGTAGATGTTTGAAATAGTAAATAATATGATATTAATAGTTTGAAAATATATTCAATAAATTAATATCTCAACAAAAATACTCATAAAGTACCTTTAATAAGTGAATATTTTTAGTTATAAGAGCCTACTGAATAGCGGTATAGATAATAAAGAGTTTAACACGTAGATAGTTTAAAAATCTCCATGACTTTTCTTTGAAATTCATTTCAAATAATTATACAATATGAACACATCATAACTTATCAATATATTTTAAATTCTTAGAATACTATATTTTGTAGTTTAGAAGAAATAAAGTATTGTGTTAATTTTTATATAAAATATACTTAAAAACAATATTCTCCATTTTATAAACTAAATAAGATTCTCTCTATAAAAAAGAATAATTGTTGTGACCAATAGGTCTTTCTTAGAAAATTGTTTTTTACAATTAGAAATCCTAATGAAATAGTGATTTCAAATTAAATTAGTGCATTTCATAGATATTTTTTGTATATCAATTTTGTATAATCAAATAAATATTTCCAATATTAATTTAGATGAAATCAAGTGTTTCAACTCCTTGATATATTTGCTATTGTGATATCATGAATCTGGATATAAATAAAGATATCCCCATCATAAACTCATTAATGATAAAAATCTTAATTGCCTTATACCTAAACTCAAACTGCAATAGATTAATAAATCAAGTAAGGAATATCATCAAAATTAATTGAAATTGATTCACACAAGAATTTCTTATGTATCTATTCTTTATTATTATTTTATTAATTATTTTCTTTGTATTAAATTTAGTGCTAATTTTTGAATTACTTAAACTAACCATGCAATTTAGAACTAATTATTAATAATTTTTTGTATAATGTCAGAAAAGAATCCTATTTCAATTAAATTAATTGTTCTTGGTGATGCCAATGTTGGAAAAGTTGACATACTTTTGAGGTATTTACTTAAGCAAGTCTAGTTATATAAAAAGATTAGATTTCTCAAGATTTCATTCCTAAGGTCTTTGAAAATTACACGATTACAACAGTTGTTGATGGGAAAAAGATTAATTTAAGTTTATGGGATACTGCTGGATAAGAAACATATAATAGGCTAAGAATATTAAGTTACGGTTAAGCTGATGTCTTTTTGATAGTCTTCTCTATTATTGATGAATAGAGTTTCTAAAATGCAGTCACTAAATGGTATTAAGTGTAGAAGTTCCTGAATTAAAAAATGTACCAAAAATTTTTTTTGGAAATAACAAAGATTAAAGAAATTTGTCAAATCCAAGCCATGTCTAATATGAAGCAGTATATTAAATTTAATCAATTATTTGGCAAAATCTAAAATTGATTAATTGTAATGTTAATATCTGGAATGTTCATCATAAACATAAGAAGGTTTAAAAGAGGTCTTTGACTAAGCGATAAAAAAAGTCCTTTAAGTTAAAGGTTAAAAATCAGAAAATACTTCAAGTAAAAATCAAAAAGGATCAAATCAGGAAAAAGAAAAATGCTTAATTTTTTGATTAAATATACGCAATAAATGATAAAAATATCACAGTTTCATATATTCATATTTAATTATCAAACACTTCCATTATGAATTATAAATTTAAAAGACTACATAATTATTTTATTTAGAAAGAAAGAAATAGATTTATCTATTTATGGCTATAAAAAGTATAATTAAATTCATATAATTGGGAGAAATAAATAAATGAAAAAATTGAAAATAAATTATTGAAACTTGAAGTTTATAGATAAATAGAGATTATTATTAATAAGTTGAATGTTGCAGAAGAATTTATGTCGGATGGATTATAAGGTTTTATAACTTCAGGTATTTGAAAAAGTGTTGAATGGTAAATATTAACATGAAATAATTATTATCAGGGAAGATTAATTTATACCTCAGATTAAGGATTTTTTTTAATTTCCTTACACCTCCACATCTATGACTATATCCATTGGTACTCCAATTTTTGCTACAGTTTCTGAAAACACCCCATATATTGGTATTAGATACTTCGAAGTATTTTCATATTATGAGAATAAAATAATAATAGATGAGAGTCTTCTCCATTAAGACGATTATATCCTTGAATTTGAAGAGATTTTTTCTTCATAGTAAAATTGTGTAGTAGGATGTAGAAATTGTATTCGAGATTTGTGTGTAGAATGTTTTTCAGGATGAAATTTTGATACTAATTCTTAAGAATGTATACCAATCTGTGGAGATCAATTGATTTTATACTTAGAAATATGTGATGTAAACATGGAGCCATATGATGGATGATACTAGTGTAAATTCTCTTGTCCACTAAATTGTGCTCTTACAAATATGACTAATGTATCTTCTGTGACAATAAGTATCAATTAATAGATTTATAATTCCGTTTTTCTCTCTAATTTGAGGATGAGAATAGGTTAATTAAATATGATATTTAAATCAACGAGGGACAATGTTTGACAAACGCAAATCTTTAGAATGTCATTCTCAACAAAAACTTTAAATTAGAAGCTCATGGTATTTAATGTTAAATTTAGAGTTATAGCATTTTTGCTTATTAATATAATTAATGTGAATATAGGGAACCAGAAATTTTTTTCATCTACTGGCAAAATGCAAAATTTTTTTAGCATTGAGTTCTTTAAATTTAATAATAATATTTCTTGCCATGACTTAAATTGTATTTGAAGAATCAAGCTTGGTTATCTTTATGATTCAGAAATCATGAATTTTTTCGATTTAAACTAATAAAATTTTAGACAACTCAGTAGGAATTATTTATAAGGGTGAATGAAAAAATAATTTGAAATTCTAAACAAGAATCCTAGAATGTAAGATTTCAACAACAAAAATTCTTGTTAATTACTATCTATAATTAAAAAACTTTCAGTAAATTTAAAGTTCACATATCTTTTTTTTCACAAGAATTTAGATGATTTAAATAAAAATGCAGACTAAAGGGTTTTTCAGTTTTTCAAGGTATAAGCTATATTATTTACAAAGAAGGTTGACTAAGTTTTTCAAATTGTTCTTTAAGGCATACCCAATTTGCATATAATATTCTGCATTTTCTAATTTAATCCTAATCTATATATTAGTTAGTAGGTAGGTAGTTATGTCTTAATTATCAATATATACGATGATAGTTATAAATTTTATTATACTATGTTAATTGATTATAAAATAACTCTTTATTTTTACCTTATGAAAAGTAATCCTAGGTTTTTATTTTCAACTTTTTCTAAAGATATTGTAAATGTTTAATCTCATGAATCAGTCGCTCTTCATAGAGGAAAATTCTAAAACTCATTTCTTTTTTGTAACTTCTATTTTTGGCAAACAAAACTCAAGACCTTTTATTAAAATAATAATGAGATTATGACTGAACTGAAAAATCAAAATACATTTCAATATCAAAATAAACCTTTTTCCAAAAAGGAATATAAGGTGATTTTTAGATTGGATTAGGTATTATTTCAAGTTTTAAATGATTTATTTCCAATTTATATAGGGAATATTAATGTAAAATATTTTTTTTTGAATTGGTTTTTGAAATTAGTAATTTTTAATCAGAATTGGATGAGAAAATTCTAATAAAATGAAGCGATTTAAACTTGATTGAAAGGAACAAAAAAATTACCAAAATTTTTAATGAAGGAATTCAAAATCAAAAGAAGATTTAATTATTTAAAGTTTTGCTGCATCCCTGAATATGCGTACTTCAATATATGGAGTCTGGCCTTCAAGGTGGATGGATAAAAAATATTGATAAGATTTTGTGGATGATACAACAACAATTCTGTAATAAGACCTAAATGAGCCTTAAGGGAAGATGAAATTGCTCTCCAAAAGCATCAACGAATTGATTGCAACACACACCTAAAGAATCACAAATGATAAATGATAATTTATGATAATTTATTATTATTATTTTTGAATAAAAATCAAATGATATTATANAGCATTTTTGCTTATTAATATAATTAATGTGAATATAGGGAACCAGAAATTTTTTTCATCTACTGGCAAAATGCAAAATTTTTTTAGCATTGAGTTCTTTAAATTTAATAATAATATTTCTTGCCATGACTTAAATTGTATTTGAAGAATCAAGCTTGGTTATCTTTATGATTCAGAAATCATGAATTTTTTCGATTTAAACTAATAAAATTTTAGACAACTCAGTAGGAATTATTTATAAGGGTGAATGAAAAAATAATTTGAAATTCTAAACAAGAATCCTAGAATGTAAGATTTCAACAACAAAAATTCTTGTTAATTACTATCTATAATTAAAAAACTTTCAGTAAATTTAAAGTTCACATATCTTTTTTTTCACAAGAATTTAGATGATTTAAATAAAAATGCAGACTAAAGGGTTTTTCAGTTTTTCAAGGTATAAGCTATATTATTTACAAAGAAGGTTGACTAAGTTTTTCAAATTGTTCTTTAAGGCATACCCAATTTGCATATAATATTCTGCATTTTCTAATTTAATCCTAATCTATATATTAGTTAGTAGGTAGGTAGTTATGTCTTAATTATCAATATATACGATGATAGTTATAAATTTTATTATACTATGTTAATTGATTATAAAATAACTCTTTATTTTTACCTTATGAAAAGTAATCCTAGGTTTTTATTTTCAACTTTTTCTAAAGATATTGTAAATGTTTAATCTCATGAATCAGTCGCTCTTCATAGAGGAAAATTCTAAAACTCATTTCTTTTTTGTAACTTCTATTTTTGGCAAACAAAACTCAAGACCTTTTATTAAAATAATAATGAGATTATGACTGAACTGAAAAATCAAAATACATTTCAATATCAAAATAAACCTTTTTCCAAAAAGGAATATAAGGTGATTTTTAGATTGGATTAGGTATTATTTCAAGTTTTAAATGATTTATTTCCAATTTATATAGGGAATATTAATGTAAAATATTTTTTTTTGAATTGGTTTTTGAAATTAGTAATTTTTAATCAGAATTGGATGAGAAAATTCTAATAAAATGAAGCGATTTAAACTTGATTGAAAGGAACAAAAAAATTACCAAAATTTTTAATGAAGGAATTCAAAATCAAAAGAAGATTTAATTATTTAAAGTTTTGCTGCATCCCTGAATATGCGTACTTCAATATATGGAGTCTGGCCTTCAAGGTGGATGGATAAAAAATATTGATAAGATTTTGTGGATGATACAACAACAATTCTGTAATAAGACCTAAATGAGCCTTAAGGGAAGATGAAATTGCTCTCCAAAAGCATCAACGAATTGATTGCAACACACACCTAAAGAATCACAAATGATAAATGATAATTTATGATAATTTATTATTATTATTTTTGAATAAAAATCAAATGATATTATAATTAATATAACTCCAAAATCAGCATATGATATGATAATCCAAATGTAAGTTCAAATAATTTAATTGAAAATAGATCTAAATGAAAATACAATGAAAATATAAATAATACATTAAGCGAGAACAAAAAATTATGAAAGGCTCATCAAGCACTTCGCTGTTTTTATATAGAAAGCCATCAATTCTAAAAGTATTATATCGAATAGGTAGATTTTGGGTAAAGATTTAGGGTACTGTTCAAGTTTAAGATTTTGATGTAAAACAGAAATAACAATCATATAAGTGCTTCAATTGAAAACAACTTGGTGACTCTAGTATTGATCATCCTATCATCAGTCATGGATCTGAGATGTAAGGCAGTACTAATACACACACAGTAAAGGACTTTTGGAAGAATGAAATCATGAGATAGCTTTAGAGATTGCATGAGATTACACAGCTCTCCTTTGCTACAAATGCGGTAGCCTTCACGCTTAAACAATTCTCTGAATTAATGGCAGAAGTGCTAGTTATTTATGCTAAGTTACCATTTTCCCTTATATGGATATATGACATTTGTGGTGATGAATGCTTCTGATTGATTAGAGTTCCCATTGTGAAATTACTGCAGCTGCATTCGCTAGTAAATATCATTGCTAATGACATTATGCTATTTCATTGAAGCTCATCAAATGATTTTCTTATCGATATCCCACCTATTCATTGATAGAAAGGTTTTAGAGCTCTCTTTCTTTTATCCATCCATTACACTACTAATGAAGCTACCTACTTTCTCATAGCTATTATTTTCCTTGCTCAACAGAGCATATTACCAATCTGTAGATTTGATCCATGAACTGAGCAATTCTATCTGTTCATGATTTAAAATATAAACATAAATTATCAATCATCTTTCCATTCTCATCAACGGTTACAAATTCAAAAAAAACTCTAGTTCACTTCATCCTCATAAAGTTTGTTGGACATCCCAAGCCACTTGTGACTAAGAACTATAATTGAACCTACTAATCTTCTTGTCCATCTCTTCATTTATTACAAGGATCTTCAAAAAGTTAATATAATTTTATGAATGACCTCCAAACATTTACACGCCATTACTGATGTTAAGTGGTTGGGATCTTCTTGTCAAATTAGTACAGATTCAACTCATTTACCACTAAGTCATTCTACTTGTTTAATTTTTACTCAAGATTATAGAAGAATGAGTCTGGAAAACAATATATCAATTTCTATTTATCATTAAAATTGTAAGCTTTAAAACCATCCAAATCAAATGCAAAATTTTGATCCAGAATTATAATTAGGTTTGAACATTTTGCATCATTCAAATACTAACCTGGTATGATTCAACATGTAATATAATTTCACTCAGAGCCATGAATTGGGCAATCCTACAAAGTAACTCGACCAAACCCTAGCCTTTTTTCGAATCTAGTTCTTTGAGATATAGGAGATATAGCTGAGAGTCAAGGAATGAGGAGAGGAATCCAAAATCTTAATGTCTTCATTAGAGCTTTCAGCAGCTTCACTGAATGTAGTCATAATGTTGCTGATTCAAAATTAATGCCATGTCACAATGTCACACATATTAAGGTCCCTTTAAGTTTTATTACTGATTGCAATAGGAGGAAAACTTATTTAGATTGTTTTTCTGCTTTATTTAATAATGAGAAGTTNTAACTCTTTATTTTTACCTTATGAAAAGTAATCCTAGGTTTTTATTTTCAACTTTTTCTAAAGATATTGTAAATGTTTAATCTCATGAATCAGTCGCTCTTCATAGAGGAAAATTCTAAAACTCATTTCTTTTT